GGGGGGGGCATGTTTGCATAGGAGGCCTATTTGGTGCATCTCTATTTTTGTCTAAAATGTTACATGTACTGACATGGACAAATACTGCTCAAAGAAACCTACTTGTATTTTTGTAAAGTTGTAGAGTAATGTGTACTTTGTGATGTTCACTGAAATAATATGTTTGTGATGTATTCTTTGACTTACATTTTAACTGGTGAAAATGCATATTTTGGCTTTTTTTTTTCTTAATTTTTTATTTTGAAACAAACAAAACTTTTTCTATGAATCCTTTTCCCTGACCTGCAATGTACTCTGATGAAATTAAAGCTCTCTGGTTTGTTTTTTGCCTTTGGAAAAACCCCGATCGGATTTGCATAATTGATAAAATCCAATTTTTTTTTTTCTTGAATTCCTGTTTCCATTTGTTGTATGCAAGTATCATAAAAAGATGTTTAAATACACATGGTTGACAATTAATGTGCTGGACATCCATAATTCAGGTTACCCAATAATAAAAAAAATTTAAAGAGACATCAATTGGGGGTTGGCAAATTATACGAGATATCTGTGATTGTGGGTTGATATTATCCTTTCCCAACTAGGTCGCCATGGTTCATTAGGACACACTTTCTTCTCAGCAGCAGAATATGTTAGTGTTGTTTACTAGATTTTTCCACATCGGGGAATTAATGCTTGTTTTTAATTCTGTTTTGTCTTACTGTTGCTCTTTATTCTTATTGAGAATGAGAATTTCATGATTTTTACCTGATACTGATATAACTTTGTACAGAATTTTACATGATTTAATTTATATTGAAGTGTTGTCTCTTCAAATAGATTTTGTGTGTCACAAAAACAAAGATCACCTTGTGTAGTATCCTTTATGTCTGTATACAAATAGGCTATAATGTCATTATTAAGTCCTATGTCTTTTGAGATTTAGACCAGTGCTTGCCAACCTGGGCGGTGTCACCCACTAGTGGGCAATTTGGTAGTTTTGGTGGGCAGTGGAGATCACCTGGGAAGTGACAGGTGTTATTCATCAATGTCCCATCTTGGAAATTCATGAAGGTAGACGGATAAAATGTAATCTTTTGAGGGTGGAAAAAAAGTGGGTGCTAGCTATAAAAATAAAAGGGTTGACAAGCATTGGTGTTTACTCATGATGGAATCACTTTTAACACATAATTGTACATCACATGTAAATTTTTGCGCTGGTCCAGTGGGGGCTGTTCACCCTGGAAGCGAACTTGTTGAATCCAAGCTTGCTGATTAAAGTGTTCGTTGAATCGGGGTTTGCCTGGAATGTAATTATTTCCGAAGGCTTCTTTACAGTCAACTGCTCTCGGATGAATGAAACAAATATTAATAAAATATTTTCTTTTGTTTCTCTGAAATTATGTTTGACCTCACACTTGAAAAAGTGCAATAGCTTTTATTTTTACTTGATGAAAAAGCTTGTTTTATTCTGAACATTCTAGTGGAAAAGAGTGAGTCCAGCTTTTCCCTTCCCTTAGAACATTCCACTTTACTGTATGTAGGTTTTCTACTTCAATTTTTAGCGTATATTATGTATATACTGTGGAACTCGGATTCAATGAGGTCGCCGGGCCTGACCTAAAATCTCGTTGAATCCGAGTGTTCTTTAACTTTAAATAGCAAATATGAGGTTTTTGTATAGATAATTAAAGGCACTGAGCAAGTAATGTATAAAGGAAAGTAACAAGTGGTGCCTGAAATGCCTGCATTATTATGAGATGTGTATAAAAAGACCAATTCGTTAAAATGCACGCCTGTGTCTTCTCGATTGCTTGCCAAAAGTTGTATTGCTGTATAGAGCCTAGTATACTGCAACTTTTGATTCTATAGACCAGCGCAAAATTCATTACATGTAGGCTACGTAGATCTACGTCAAGACTAGCTTATCCTTGTAATAATGATCAGTTTCTTGGGGGGAGGGGAGGAGACACATGCGTTTGTATCTGCGACATTCCACGCCCGGACCACTAGTGCCTCTCCCACGCCCACCCCGACACTCGCACACACAGTCACACGCGTGGAGGCTGCCTATCTGACCGAAGCACACGCT